AGCAGCAGCAGTAGCAGTAGCAGAAGTAGTGCAGTGTGAAAAGGGAGCTTCTAGTGAAGCTGGATAGGCAGGGCGTGCAGAGGAAGCACCCCATTAGGATGTGGAGTGTGAATCGCACAGAGGCGAGATACTTTTCAGCCATTTGGGCCTGAAACGAAGGACGAGGTGCCTGTTGTTGCGAAACACGACGCGCCGGAAAATCGAAGGGCCATTCGTGGTGGCGAATGCAGCCTCGGCAGTCAGTAGCCACATGCAGCCGTGCACCTCCCAGCTATATACGGACTATGCAGCCCAAATCGCAGGGTCGTTTTGTTTGGGATGGTTTACAGCAGCTCGGACTTCAGACGCTCAAACTTCAGTCGGGTCTCTGTTATGCCAACAGTGCCCCCAGGCTCAGCTGGCTCATTGCCTTCGAAGAGACAGTCCTGGCAAATGCAGGCCAAAACATCGATCAACTACTCGCCGTTTCCTGCGAACCTCCAAACTAAATTGTTCCCAGGCCCGAAGTCAACCAGGTGGATCATCACATTCATCTGGGTTTTGCTGTTCTTCAAAACTCTTTCAGGTTTACCTGAAGACTCCCAATACCCAGCTCTTACAAGTCTACACGGCTTGATGGCCTCGAGCACCAAACCACCGGCAGCCGCCTGCCGAGTGATGTTTGGGTATCTTCTCAGAACTTGCCGGGTTGATGCTGATCTCATGATTAGTTACGTGGAGATGATACATTCTGAAGAAGCGCAACAAATGGCATAACAAGTTATCGTTCCCACTGTTCCCATGTAATCTTACAACATGCACAAATCTGCCTGTATGGCACCGTCTGCCCCATTGCTAGGGACGTGGTTGTCGATGAAACGTGAGTTCTTGAAGAGAATGCCGGAAGGGACGAAGGAGCGCACACCAGCTACATCCACGTTCGCGGTGTTGTTCACGACCGTGATCTGACACAGACAAAGCATAGGAAGGCAGACTCATCATTTTTCCAGAGTCCGGTAGCAAGAAGAAAGATACATGCAGCATGCAACCACATCTTCATACAAGCGACATTAGTAAAGCTCGGGCTGACAGTGGCCGTGAGGTATAACGTCGCAGAAGAGGAGGCCTCTAAGCGCGATGCGAAAGACATGCGAATTACTTCTAGCCCCTTGTCCGGACCTGCAAGGGCCCTCCTGACATCCAAGCCGAGTGGCACGGCCGTTCTGAAAGATCACATTGCGGAACCTAGTCGATGACATGCCTTGGATGCACCCACCATGTCAGCGAAAGCAGGAGTGCGTAGCATGTTGCCTGGTGCCTACCTTGAGCCACTTCGAAAGAAATACAACGACTTGAGGGCCAGGGGCATGGAGAACGAAAGCTCGGTCTTTTTCCCGAATGCGCAGCAGAAGGGTTCCCGTTTTAAAGGTTGGGGTCCAGGGGTCCAATAGTTGACCAGGGATCGTTGTTAAAGCGTTCGCGAAGCGTCCGCAAGCGTCCGCAAGCGTGTCGCGCCCGTGTCCAGCCCCCGGCCCCCGGCCCCAGTTCCCCGGCCCCACCCGAGCTTTTTTGACGATATCCGCGTTGCGCGTGTCTGCATTCG